TGGCCGGTGGTTTGGCCATATGCGGATTCAGCATCGAAAAACGAGCCAAGGGGAGAAACTTTACCTCGATTGGCGGTCGAAAAATTCTCCGATGCGGCGGCGGGTGGCAGCGGCCGGCTCCTCTGGCGTTTGGTTCTTTTTCTCCGGCGAGGCACTGGCGACTAGGGTTTTGTGGTCAGGTGTGGGTGGGGTTATTTATACCCTTTGCCTTTTAATCTCAACCGTCCATCAATATTAAATCTGAACCGTTCGATCCCGATCCATTTGAGATTAAATCTGGGCCGTCCATCGCGATGCGATCTGGGCCGTCAGTGCCTAATTGAATCTGGGCCCTCCGTGCACACGGAAACGAATCTGGGCCGTCCGATCGCGCACACGCGGATCGCCCACGTGGCCCGTCCCGTGTCAATGTTTCCTTGCCACGCGGCGCATCCTAATTGGCCGGGGCTGCTAACCGGGCTGCTGACGTGGCACAAATTTTTCAAATTACGTTTTGACCCCCGGTTTCCAATTTTCTTTTCAAAAACACCATCAGAATTCAAATTTTCACCCCTTTTCCCCAAAATTAATTTCAATTAAATCCAAATAATAATTTTACTCAATTTTATCATTATTTTTATTAAATTAATTTAAATTAAATTAAAATCTAAAAAATTCAAATACAAAAAAAAAAAATAATAAAAATAAAAATATAATTTAAGTGTTATAACCGTTGATAAATGCAATGCAACAGAAAATGAATACTTTAAAGAATTATCAGACTGATTTGGTTAACATGATAACTAAGATTCGTGACAAGCATTAATCCTGCACCAAGATAGTGAGATTGAGTGGAAATTGAATAACATACGGGTGAGTACCTCCCATGGCCTAGAGGGGTAGATTGTTAAGTCTAGCTCATTAAGAAGAAAAAAAAAGATGACAAAATGAATAGAAGATAAAATTTCAGACTTTAAAAAATTTTTCCGAGTAGAGAAGTTAATTTAAACTGCTACTATAGCCTATAAAAGGAGAGGAGCAGAGTTGAAATAAGATTAAAGTGGAGAAGAAAAAATTCAAAAAGAGAGAAGCTGTGCGGAAAGAAAAAGAGAGAGAATAAAGAGAAGAAAAAAAATGAAGGGACTTGTATATATATATATATATATAGAGGTTGAGTGGCATCTAAGAGAA